CCCCAGGGCCCGCCCAGGCCCCGCCCCTCCAGCCCCAGGGCCCCCGCGCTCACCTTCCTCATCTCCTTGAGGCTGAGTCTCCAGCGCTGGAGCTGAGGCATCTGAATTCAGAACGGAAAAGATTTGCAAGGAGACTACAATTATGAGAGTAAGTTAAGTAAGTGTGCATACGGAATGAGGCGAAGGATTTGCAAACCGCCCCCACAGATCAATGCAAACACCACCCCAGGACGCGCAGGGACGTGGGCAGGCCGGGGCTTGTCTGAAAGCCCCAGCGGAGCTGCGGGGGCTGCTAGATCACGGGGCCGCCCACCGCTGGCAACACGGTTCCATGAAGGAGGTGTCAGATGTGGCTTCCAGCCCCCCGGTGGAGCCAGCAGAGGCCACAGGACGGCCGGGGAAGTGACCGAGGTGAGCAGGCCTCGAGCAGCGGGGAGAAACTCAGCTCCGAAAGTCGTGAGTTCTGGTCATTCGACACTAAAGGGAAGAGGCTGACCCGAGTCAGGGGTGCAGTGGGGAGCCAGGTATGTGCCCCATTTTCCTGAGTGGAAAGGCAGGAGCGAATGAATCATGGATTGAATTGCCACCCCGGGCACCTCTGTCCCCTTGTGCAGGGGCGTGACCCACATGAGGGGCTGAGGTGTGGGGGTTGGGGGGGAACATGAGGGAAGGAGACCCGAGAATGGAGGAACGGGGTGTGGATTGTAAGAGAACTCTGGGTCATTTCACTGAAGACGTATATCCCAGATGAATAATCTGTACTTATTTGTTGAGAAACACTCCTCGGGTTCCCCGGGAGAGTGTGAGGTTTAGAGGGTCCTGAGACACAGCAGGACGACATGGCACATGACCTTCCGGGTTCTGCTCGTGACAAGTGGGCCCCTGCCAGGGCCGCCGTCACGGGGCCCTTCGTGGGGGCCCCCAGGACCAGCCTCGTGTTCCACCCACGCCATTTTGTTATATGATAACTTCAGGGGCGGCGATAAGCACACAGCTCGTCTAGTTACTGCGATCCATCGTTTCCCAGCTGTCTGAAGAATAAAAATGCAGTTCCCCAGAAGTTCTTTTCAGGGGAAAACCAAAGAGACGTTTTCCAAAACTCTTTAACATTCAATAATCTCTTAAAAATAGTTTCCTATTTGTCAAAATACTGACAAAATGTAACATCATTTATTTGAAATACCCAAGCCCAATACTGATAGCAGCCCTAAACTGAGCATTTTGCTGTTAAGTGTTTTGTAATCTTCTTCCAAGAAACTAAAACACTGAGGAGCACAGTTAGAACTCACTTAAAAGCCCTGAAAGAGTAGTGTGAGAAACGACCTTGGCATATTTCAAGGTCTTTTTAAATGACAACAGTCAGACACATTATCCAACTTGTGCGCGTCACTGAGGCCTAAGGAGATCACATTTTGGAGCCTGTTCCCAAACTCAGCGGGTCTGGGCCAGCTGACAGCTCAGCTGAGCTACCTTGGCGAGTGACGCTGGTGAGGGGCCATCACTGAGGGGACGATGATGAGCGCTGTACCCCACGCCTGTGCACTCCTCCCACCCCCACTGCCAGCACCAGCGGTGCATCCGTCTCCTGCCTGCGGCCCCCACTTCCATCCGCATGACTCCTGGGGCCATCCTTGCTGGTCCCTTAAATGCTCAGATCCAATATAACAAACCCACTGGCACCCACTGGGCTCAGCCTTCAAAAAATGAAACAAAGCACATGGAGAGCTGCGTGCTGTCTCGTTTTAATCTCCATGCACGTCTGAGACTGAGGGGCTTCCGTAGGAAGTGTTCTTCCCTTAAACCCATGTGTGTGCCCGCACGCCATTCCCCAGGGGCCTTTTGTCTTTGTTGTCTTTTTTATATGCAGTGGGTTCAACAGGTATCACAGTGCCTGAGATTAGGCAGCACCTCTGAAACAGTGTTTCCTTCCGACCCCTCCTCCTTGCAGCGTCTGATGAATCTTGCTAATCATAAACACTGTCACTTTCTCTTCTCTACAAAATATCAGTACGCCCATCCCAGCAGCTTCAAATCTTACAGACTCAGATCTGAGCCATTCGCTCTAACATATGAAACTTCATCTCATTCCTTTGCAAACTTGAGTCCTCTCCCAGTGTCCTGACCACGCCTGTCTGACGCTGTCTTTCTCCTGGAAAACGGGACATTTCCCAACTACGAGGGTCTTCTGCTGCACCTTACACCTGTCTCAGCTGCCACACCATCCGTCCACTCACGTGCCTCCTCTGTCCTGAAACCGTTCCACCAACTGCTCCCTCCTCTAACCCTCACCGAGCGCTCTCACAGGTTGGCAGCTGCTCCTGTGTCAATGTGTGTGTCTGTGTGTCTGTCTTAACAATACAGAGACTCTGCAATCCCCCAGGGCAGGACAATACCACCAGCGTCAGTACACGCTTAAGGGAGGTGGGTCCAATGCAACGCAGGTCTACTTGCTTTGGGTCACTTTTCTGTAGCACTGGTCAAACACTGCCTACCTCAGACGTGCAGCAATGTAAGATTTCAGTTCTAAAATATTATTGCTATTCCATCTTGAAAATAACTTCTGACCTTAAAGGCAGACATAAGATAAAGGCGGAAAATGTGTCAACGGGTCTAAAGGGTGACAGCCGAGGAAAAGGTGGGACTCAGAGCAGGCCACGGGGGACATGCAGGCCATGGGGGGCACACAACCCTGCAGACATGGGCCTGGAGGCTACAGTGTTTCCTAAAGGGGCCAGTCCCACAGGAGGTGGCTGCCACGGGGGGATACAGTATTCCTCTCTTCCAAGGAAGATATGAGATGCCTCGACCAGCGGTCCCCAATGACTGCTATGCTTTACAGTCACATAGAAAACAGCCACAATACTCAACCCGAGTCCGCTCCACAAGTATGGACTCCGGGGGACACCTAACAATGTCTGCAGGCGGTCCCAACATACGCCACCATCGGGGCTTCTCAGACTTGGCTTGTGTTGGGGACTGGCAATCGTAAGGGCTGCGCAAATACTTGCCGAATGACTAAGTAATTAACAAACTACTGCAGCTCTCTTTATCATCACTGGCACATGCTTAAATTAAGGCATGAATTGGATAAGATGTAATAAATCATCATGTAAATTCATTTTAAGATAGTCACCTGTTTTTCCTGTGCCTTCTCGTTGGGGTAACTTTTCATTTACGGAACCTAAAGGGGGAGAATAAGGGAGGAAATTACTATGGCTCTCACATGATCATCAGTAATTGTTACATAAATATCTTATTCCGTTTTGATGACTGCACAGTGCTTTGCCACTTCCTAGTTAAATTATACAAGCGATCTCGTACCCAGAGGTAGCACGGCCACCGGAAAGCACAACTCGTAAACTTAATCCTCAGAAGAGGAAAAATAATCCTCAGAAGAGTAGCTTTACCTCTGTTGCCTTCTTAACATACATCACCACGTTGGGGTAGCAAAATGAATCAGATTTTAAAAATGTTATATTAATAATAAATAGTTATACAACTAAAGATAAACAAACTCCTGGTTTCAGCTTGATTCATATTTGTGGAGGACAAGAAATAGGCTCAGGCTGACCAAGTGGTTCATGACAAAATGTTGTAGCATTTGTATTCTGTTAAAACATTCCTATTCCAAATATGAAATATTGTTCTTTCTCACCCATTACACTGAAATTGCTACAGGCACTGTTTTTCTTCATCTTTATTATACATACTCAAAAGAATAAAACAAATTCTGTTCAAAATTACTTTGGAGTTTATCTGCCAATTCAGTTCAGAATATTCCATCCAGGGTTCTTGTAGAATTACCCCACTCAAAAGCTAGGTGAGGGGGCCGGCCGAGTGGCTCAGTTGGTTAAGAGCTCACTCAAGGGTTTGAGCTCTGAGCAACAGCGGTT